CATATTAGAAATTTAGATTGGATATGATACAAGTTTTTTTTGGGATTTTAAAGTTTCGGGTTCTTTCGGATATCCATTTAAGTTCGGGTTCGGTTCGGGTAATACCCATAACCCGAAATACCGTAAAACAAGATCCATTCGGTACTTATGTCGGGTTCGGATCGGTTCGGGTTCCTTTTTATCGGGTCGGATTCGGTTCGGATTTTCGGGTTCGGTTTTTTTTGCCCAGCCCTAATTTTCAGTGTCATTTGCAAAGCAAAAAAAAAATGGATTTTCACGTAATTTTAGTGTACAATGATAAGACACATCCACCACTCAAATTAACATCAGATAAAAATGTTCTTTGGTCTAAAAATGTTCATTACTACTCATGCATGTTTTGTTAATATATACAATATCAAATTATTAAGCTATTTTATGTCTTTCTCTCCCTTCTTTCTTCGTCTCTATATTTTTTCTTCATGTTTTCTTCTTCTACTTCTTCTGGATCTATTCAAGAGTTACTAAATGAGTTTTATGCTGCCCACCCCACCTGAAGGGAAAATGAGATAGCTTTAATAATGGATTATGGTGAAGATTTTTTAGAAAAAAAACTTAAAACTGATATCTTGTGAGATAGATCTCATACGTTTTCCAAAAGAGACAAACAAAAGTAAGCTTGAAAAGGTGACAATTTTGATCTACCACAAATGATTTTCTCTTGGATTCCACTAAAAGCTTCCAAACACATACACAACTTGTAAGCTTCTTACTATTAAATTTGATTAACACAAGATCTGATACTAGAATCTGAAAAAGGTAAGTATCAAGAAAGTTTCCTTTTACTATTTAAATTATTTTTAACTTATATGCACTAGTGGTGCACAAAACAAAAATTTATATGCACTAATATGTTTATTTTCTATTTTCCTAAGAATTTGTTTGATCACGAAATAAGAAAAACATTAAGTTGTGGGATTTTGAAACTATTGTGTACCTGACACATTCACAACAAACAAACAGTGCTCGCAAATCTTATCAAACATCACACAAGGTCTTAAAAGTTGGGATTTAGTGACTCTTTAGAAGTTGTTGGAGTTCGTAATGAAATTTATTTAAATTGGGTTCATATATTAGAATCATCAATAACTATCATTCACGAAGTGAAAACACAGTTAATTTTAATCTTTTGACTTTTAAATTCTTTTGTGTGGGCTTTGATTATTAGTGCCACAGAAAATGATAAAAATGATGTTTTTCAGTTGATGATAAAGACACAACTAACAAACCATTAATTGTGGAAATGAGAAAGAGAATGGAAGAATACCTACTTGAATACAATGAGTTAGGTAATATACTTGCTATTATAGAAGATATTGACTTTCTGGGTGTCATTCGCGAAGCGAAGAAATTGGGGTTCAATGTAATTTAGCATATGAGAACACACGTCCACCACTTAAATCGGCATTAGATAATATATGTCTTCTGTCTAAAAATGTTGATTACTATCCGTGAATGTTTTGTTAGTATATATGATACCAAAATCTTAAGCTATTTGAAAAACAAGTAAAAACTCGAAAACCTTAACATTTCTTAAATACTAACCCATTCAATAAGTGTTAAAGCTTAATTAATCAAACAAAAGAAAGCAACGGTTGAGAAGTATTTCCATGTGTCATATTTTAACGATTAATTATTTTAATTTGAGCAATAACTAATCAAATGGAAGACTATCATTTCTCATCACTTAGTCTCATGCTTAATAACTAATCAAATGAACAATACGCAATACATATGTAAACATTAATAAGGGACCGTTGTCTGAGGAGGAAATAAATTTTTCCTGTATAAGAAGATATTCCTATAAACATTAATCAACGTAAGAAGATTTTCCTATAGACATTAATCAACGTTCGTTCATGCTTTTTCTGAGAATTTTTTTTTAAGTTTCTGCCATTTTCTCTCTCCATTGCTTCTTTCTCTCCATGTCCTCTTCTAGTTCTTCCGGATCCACTCAAGGATCGTCTACTTTTCCATAGTGAATCTTTTATTTCCATCCATTTCTCTCTCTCTCTCTCTCTCTCTCTCTCTCTCTCTATATATATATATATATATATTCTTCATGTCTTCTTCTTCTACTTCTTCTGGATCTATTCAAGAGTCACTAAATTTGTTTTTGCTGCACACCTCACCTCACGGGAGAATTAGATAGCTTTGATAATTGATTCTGGTGAAGATTTTTAGAAAAGACTTAAAACTGATAATCTGTGTGAGAGATTTCATATGTTTTCCAAAAGAGACGAATCAAAGTAAGCTTGAGAAGGTGATCATATCTCATCTACCACAAATGATTTCTCTCAGATTCCACCAAGAAGCTTCTATACACAGAAACAACTTGTAAACTTCTTACTACTTTCTATTACCCGTATTCTCTATTTCTTTGTTTTCTTACCTTTTTATCAGATTCTAGTAGTAGATTTTGTGTTAATCAGATTTTTTTTTTTTTTTTATGTTTCATACATGGATTTCAAAGTAAGTATCAAGAAGGTTTCCTTTAACTATTTAAACTATATTTAACTTATATGAACTAATATCTTTGTTTTCTCTTTTTCTAAGAATCCGTTTGATTACAAAACAAGAAAAAAATAGGTTTGTGGGATTTGAAAACCTATTGGGTACCTGACACATTCACAATAGACAAATAGTATGTGGAATCATTCCGAACATCACACAAGGTCTTAAAAATGAGATTTGGTGGCTCTTTAGAAGTTGTTGGAGTTGGTAACAAAATTTATTTAAGCAGTGCTCATATATTGGAATCATCAATGACTTCACAAGGTGAAAATACATGTACTTTAATGGACAATTCTCACAAATAGCTTTTAAAAACAATTGTCACCAAAAGGGCATCCAAGAAGTAAAATGACCAAAAGATGTTTCATTAAAGAGATAAAAAAATTTATACCCTTATAAATATATAAATAATTAAAATAATTAAAATAAAAAAATAAAAATAATGAGTATTTTTTCTGTTTTTTTTTTTTAAAGTTCTTGTTTTTTCTGAATTTTCTTTGTGAAATTTCGAAAATGATTTTATGAAAATTTTAAATCGAAACCCTAAGTCTAATTAACCTTAGGTGTATGAGTGTATATTTACTTTTACAAAAAAACCTTTTTGGTCATTTTTTCATTAGGGACTATTTTGGTGAAAAGAAACAAAAAAAAGCTATCATAAGTAAGTTTTCTAATTTAATCCTTCTGACTTTTTAAAATCTTGTGTGGGCTTTGAATATTAGTGTTACAGAAAAATGATAAAAGATTCTTTATTTTTCTGTTGATAAACATTTGATTGTGGAAATAAGAAAGAGAATGAAAGAACACCTACTTGAGTACAATGAGCCAGCAAATATCTATACTATTAAAGCAGTATCCTATTGTTAAAATTTTGGATTCTACCCCTATATTATTATCTCATTTATAAGATAATACCACTATTTATTTTTAGAATCTTAATTAATTAAAAAAAATTAATATCTATATTTATGGTAACTGATAATATTTCCTATTTTTTGTGATTAATAATAATTTTCCTTTTATGGAAATTATGATTTTCTATTTAATTTTAATATCATATTTCCGTGCATCATATTATTTAGCGATCAAAAATTATAAATTATTATTTACTGTTTCATTTTATCCATAATAATGATATGTTTGTTTTAAAAACTAAATTTTAGATATAAAATGAGTAAAAATGTAAACTTATCATAGGTTATTAATAACGAAAAGAAACTAATATTGTTATATGAATAAATTATGTTTTTTTCTATTGCCATTGTTTTATTTTTTCAAATGACAAGAAAGTTTTTCTTAAAGAAATTACAAAAAATAAATTTTCTTTAATATTAAAAATATGAATTATTTAACAAATTTTTAAAAACATATTATCAATTTTATGGGGTTATTTAACGGATCAACGAATATCATAATACAGATTAATAGCGGGTTTTAAGATATATACCGGGTTGGCTTAAATTTTTAATTAGTAAAATTTTAATTAATAAATTTTTAATTAAATCTTAACTGGATTATATAAAAATTGCCGGATGTACCGGTTCAACTATGAATCTGGGTCGGATATGGAAACATTACGTGAAAATCAAAAAATTTAATAGAAATTTTTTCAATATTAATAAAACAATTTTAAAATTTTTGTGTTTGAATCATTAATTTAAATAAATTTTATCAAAATGGTAAAAATATACCTGCGCTTTTAAAGCGCGGGTCAAAATCTAGTCAGTAGTTATTACAGAAAATATTGATTTTCTGGATGTCATATGGTAGAGTACAATGGTTTTTCCTTAGGTGTAAATTTGTTGAGGGAAAATGTATTACTGTTTTTCTTTCTTTTTTTTTATATCAAATTTATTGATCAAAGATTGATCATTAACAGAAGGAATGTAGAGATTTGCTAGCCTATGTAGAAAAGAATGAGGAAAATTTTGAAAAAAAAATTAAACTAACTCGGGGCCACTCGCACCCTAAGCGAGAGTCATACCACTAGACCAAACACCCTCTTGTTGTTAAATTAATAACTAAATCTATAATACATCACTTTTCTAATCATAAACCCTAACGAGACACTTCACTCTCTTTACGCGCCTAAAGACAGTCTTTCCCTCTTCTTCAACATCATCTTCTCGAATCCCCAGTTCACCATCAAACTCTTCTCAAATCTTCCTCACCATTCGAATCGAAAATGGGTAAACTGAAGAACAATTTCCCCGCCAATATAGAAGACACCCAACCGATTGACTCTCTTCCCTCTTCTCCTTCTCACTCTGGTATAATCTCTTTAGTCTTTAGTCTTCATAAAGCTCAGATCTTTGGCACCTCCCCCTCCATCTGTGTTTCTCCACACTTAACAGTCTCTTTAGGCCTTATTCTTCCCAAAGCTCTGACCTTTTTTGCCTCTCCTCCATATGGGTTTTTTGAACACTTAGCCATCTCTTTAGGCTTTAATCTTCTTAAAGCTTCGATTTTGTACCTCTTCTCAATCTGGGTTTCTCCACACTTAACCATCTCTTTAAGGTTTATTCTTCATAAAGCTTTGATTTTTGGCTTCTCCTCCATCTGGGCTTCTTTACATTAACGTGATTTAGGGTTTAGTTTTTAACTTCTATTGCAAAAAGGGAACCTGACTTTGGAAAATTGTCCCTGGAATCCTGTTTACTGTTTATTTGACTCTTTGTTTGTTTCCGTATGTTAGGTGAAGAGAGAGATTCTTGGATTGGGAGTTTTGCCGATGAGTTAATGCAGGACACTGTACCTTTTGAGGATGATGCTTGGATCAGTGATGAGTATACAGAGACTCAGGTCATGGACAATGAATGTGGTACCGAAGAGTTTCTTCTTTGTTGTGAAACTCAAGCTGTGGATTTGGGGCTTGTGGAGGAGGAGCAGTTAATTCAAGGTTCTGATGGCTTAGATACGCAGGTGCTGGATCGTTTTGATGATAACGTTGTTGTTGCGGATAGTGATGATGATGATGATGTTACTGTTTTCTTGGAGGATTACAGCGAGAGGGAGGTCTCTGACTGTGGTGACTCGCGTAGTAAAGGAGGAAATTTGTTAATTAGTGAGGATCAGAATAGAGAACATGCTAATGAAAACACTAAATCAACTGTTGACGTTGATGCTGAATGTGGAATCTCTGGTGAGTTTCTAACTCAATATTGTAGAGTTTGTTTTCCTACTTAGCTTGAAACTCCACTGATGCTTGTAGATATTTTAGTTATGTGACATCTTCCATGCTTCCCAAGTAGAAACTTTAGTCTATAGGTTCTCATGAACACATTTAAAGAACTGAATCTCCCTCTCTCATTTGCATTGTTGTTATTTCACAGGAAAGGTGGCTAGATATGCTTCAGTTCGTTCAGCAGCTTTTCGTGCTTCTGCTGTTGCAGCTCGTGTTGCTGCCCAAAAGCTTCTCAACAGTGACTGTTCTACTTTAGCCAACTGCCATTCTTCTGATCAAACAGCCACTCATTACTCTCGTCCTGAACCAAATATCGGAGATGTAAGAGATCAAGATTGTCCTCCCAATATGCCTGTAGAAAAGAAAAATGAAGGAAACAGAACAGCGAGGAAGCTCTTCCCTGAAGATGATTCGCCTGAAGAAAACTGTCCTCCTCCTGGTTTGAGTTATATAGACTCTCAAGAGCCTGGCGAGGCATCACAAGCCAATGCTCTTGAATTTGTTGATAAACTCATTAGCGAGTCAGGGATAAAGTTTGATGTGGAAGTTGGAGCTGACTGTGGAAAGAGAACAGAAGAAAAATCAAAAAGCATTCCGAGTGTTAAAGGTCCACAAGAATTAGCGAAGAAAGCAAGTTACAAAGCAAGAGCTGTTGGAAACAGTATTTTCGACTGGGATGATAATCGTGAGGATGAAGGAGGTGGTGATATTTGTCGTCGAAGAAGAGATGAAATATTTGGAGTTACAAGTAAAGCAAGAAGATCTTCTTCAACCTTGCTGGATAAAAGAAAGGTTCATTCTGATTCTAGACTGTTGCATAGTAGTGTGACTAGAGGTGGAAAGATGATCCAAGCCGCTACAAAGAATCTTGGCAAAGAGTTAGATGCGGTTTCGGATGAACATAATAAGAAAATATCTGATATGCGTGAGTTGGTAGCTTTAGGGTATGATTCACAAGTGGCTGCTGAAGCTATTGATGCTGTGTGCTCTGGAGAGGGAAAGAAAGTTGATGCTTGTAGTACAGGAAAGAAACTGCCACCGGGAGAAGAGAGAGGGTTTTCTAATGGTGGAGTTATTACTAGACAAGCCAAGGGAACTAAGAGGATTCAAGCTATGGGTAAAGATGAATTGTTTCAAAGAAGGATGAAGAAGGCTAGTCCAAGTCCTGCTAAATCTTGCGGGAAGAGTACTGAAAGATCTTCAAAGAGAAGGAAGGTCCATACTGCTTCACGAGAAACCAAAAAGAATCTTGTTAATGAGTTGGATAAAGTTTCTAAGGACAGTAATACAAGAATGTTTGATAGGGGTGAAGAGGTAGAAGCAGGCCCTGATACGCAAATGGCTGCTGAAGCGATCAATGATCTTCACTCTGGAGACGCCAGAGAAATTAATCATGAGTCAAATTGTCTTATAGGTAAGAAATCTTCTCGGGAAGGAGCTGTTACCAGGAAATCCAAGAGACTTAAGGGGATTCAGGCTTTGGATAACGATGTTGAATCGCTGAAACCAAAATTCAAGAAGGCTAAATCAATTCATGCCAAGGCCTGTGAGGAGAATTTGGATAGCTATTCAGAGAATGAGAAACATGATATGCCAGATGAAGTTGTTGTGTCAATTACAGAGAAGAAAAGAGAAGAATTATCAAACAAACATTGTAAGTCTAAGCTGCTTAAGCAATCAAGTGGAGGTGAAGCAGAGGTGTTGAGTAACCCCATGTGGAGAAGATCAGCTCGTATTTCGCAAGATCAGGAAAATGAGGCAGGGAGGAGTTCAGATCCTGCTTTTGATACTCCAGTCAAATCTAAGGCGCCTTCAAAGACTGTATCGCCCTCTAATGCGCCTTCAAAGAATGTATCGCCTATATGCATGGGCGATGAGTATCATAGACTAACTTGCAAGGTTTCTCGTACATCAAACACTACAAATGAACTTCGTAACCTGACCTTACCGTTTGTGCAACCTATTCCCGAGGCAAAGAGTACAAGAAAGAGACGAGATTTGGCTAGTATACGTGTCTTGTTCAGCCAGCATCTTGATGAAGATGTGACCAAGCATCAGAAGAAGGTCTACTTTTTTCCTCTCTCAAGTTTTATATCAACGTCTAAAGTAAACTTCTAACAATCTGTTATTTGCTTAACAGATTTTGGCTAAGTTTGATATCTCGGAAGCATCCTCCATGATGGAGGCAACACACTTTATAGCCGATAATTTTATGCGCACAAGGAACATGTTGGAGGCAATCGCTTCAGGGAAGCCTGTAGTGACAACACAATGGCTTGAAAGCATTGATCAAGTCAACATATATGTTGACGAGGAACTGTACATACTCAGAGACTCAAAGAAGGAGAAGGAGTTCGGTTTCAACATGGGGGTTTCTTTGACTCGTGCACGGCAGAACCCACTACTAAAGGTACTACACGATCTTTTGGTTTTAAAATCTAGTCTTTGTTCTCCCTTTTTTGACTCGTTATATGGACACTACTTCAGGGGAGAAGAGTCTTTATCACACCAAATACAAAGCCTGGTTTAAACACAATCACGACTTTGGTTAAGGCTGTTCATGGACAGGTACTGATCTTAGTCTTTTTGACACTTTCATGTGGATGAAAGCCAAACTGATTCGTACTGAAAACAAATTGCAGCCTATAGAAAGACTGGGAAGAACTGTCCTAAGTGAAGATAAGGTCCCAGAGAATCTTCTTATCTTATCATGTGAAGAGGATCGAGATATCAGCATACCATTTCTAGAAAGAGGTGAATTTACACTTTGATCTAATATAAATACTCTGGTTATATAATGTAGTAGGCTCCACGAGAAATTGACTGTTTCATTTTCGTTATTCTCTTCAGGGTCTGAGGTCTATAGCTCTGAGTTACTGCTAAATGGGATAGTTACTCAGAAGCTAGAGTATGAGAGGTTGGTATTGTTATCCTTTCTCAGAGATTCTTATTATATTTTTCAAGCACGTCTTTTTGTCTGTCTCAGACTCTCATGCATGTCTCTTTACGAATCTTGTGTTGTGTCAGGTACCGTCTCTTCACAGATCATGTTAGGAGAACTCGTTCAACGATATGGGTGAGAGACGGCAAAGGAAAGTTCCAACGCCGTAGAGGGTAAACTAAAGGAGGAAATGTGATCAAACTACTCCTTTTTTTTGGTCAAAGTTTTAGATTCAGTTCAATAGATTGATTAGAAAGTGGTTGTATATGTAATGTTTGTTGTCTTCTCTTTCCACTTTTTTTTTTTCAATGCTAACATATTTTTCTTGTCACATTATCTCAGACCCTTCTTTTGGCTTCAGTTTAACTTATCTGCTTAGTTTAACTTATCTGCTTAAGCAGAGCACTACCGAAACATGCTCCAAGCAGTTTATAGCTATAATATTTTTCACCTACAGTTTCGATACCACCATCTACTTTCACTACAGAAACAAAATTGGTAATGAAGAGGTTTAGTTCTTGTTGAACATGAGAGAGTAAAAGGTTTTCCAAATTTTACAATTTCATTTCATCACATGAGACTAGAGATCATCAGTTCCTTTCAGGGCCCAAATCTAATAAGCTATTAGGATGTGACAAGCCTGTCTAGTTCAAGACCACCTTGCTGTATGGACTTTGATATCAAGAAATATTAATATGTAGATTGATGAAGAGAGAATTAGAAAATGACTGAAAATTCTATCTAGGAATTTTCAAAAACAAGATGAACTTACTTTATAGTTATATACAATAATATGCTAGATAATTGGCGGGAAACTGTTTATCAACTCCCTATCTAAGCGGTTAGAACCTTCTGCTGAAGCCAGAGTTTTAGGCCACTTGTTTTAAATTTTCCTCTTATAGAACTGAAGAATGATTGCTTGTGGTATACTCATTACTTCCAAAACAAGGTTTCTCTAGGAATCCCAATCAAGTTAAGTGCGGTGGCTGCAATATGAGAAGCTGTGAGTCCAGCTTCAGCCAGTTGATCCAACGGTGATCCATGCTCGATATACCGGTCAGGTAGCACCATTGGTCTCCACTAATTGTCAAAAACATAACGTTTGAGATTAGAAACCACAACAAAGGGACTAAAGAGATATAGATGAAACATAAAATGTGCAAAAATATAATAACATACCTTGAGCTTTCCATCAAGAAGGCCATCAAGTGCCAGAAACTGCACCACATGTGATCCAAACCCTCCAATGGAACCTTCTTCAACAGTAATTAGAACGTCATGAGACTTAGCTAAGCTTCTAATGAGAGCAACATCTAATGGCTTGCAGAATCTTGCATCTGCCACAGTTATCTTTAACCCACGTTCATCTAATATAGTGGCAGCCTCTATACAATTTTGAACAGCTGATCCATATCCCAAGAGTGCCACCCTCTCACCTTCCCTTAGTATCCTACCTTTACCAATCTGAAAATAGAAACCACAAAAAAAAAATGTTTAATATACTTATTAATGTTCTGATAATTTTTCATTAAGACATACCTGAAGAGGGACACCTTTGTTTCCAGGAGGAAGTGAAACACCAATACCATTTCCTTTAGGATATCGAAAACAAGAAGGACGATCATCTATAGCTGCCGCGGTTGCAACCATGTTAAAAAGCTCTGCCTCATCAGATGGAGCCATCACTATCATGTTTGGAAGACATGCCATAAACGTTACATCAAATGCTCCACAATGCGTTGGACCATCTGCTCCCACTAGTCCTGCTCTGTCCATGGCAAATCTCACAGGTAGTTTCTGTAGATCAACATCATGTACAACCTACACAAACCATCAGACAAAACAGAACCAGTTAAATTTCTAAGGAAATATTTTTCTGAAATGACCAAGACATGATGAGTGATGTTACTTGGTCATAAGCTCGTTGCATGAAAGACGAGTAGATTGCACAAAATGGTTTAAGACCTTCGCATGCAAGACCAGCAGCGAAAGTAACTGCATGCTGTTCCGCTATACCAACATCAAAACATCTTGTAGGGAAGCGGCGTTGGAAGAGATTCAACCCTGTCCCACCTCCCATGGCTGCATGAATGGCAACAACATCTTTGTCTGCTTCTGCTTCCGCAATCAAGGCCTTTGCAAAACAGGTTGTGTAAGACTGAGTCTTGGAAATGTTTTTGAACTGTTTACCAGTTGATGGATCAAATTTCACAACTCCTGAAGCAATAACAAGAAAGCTTATTAATCAAACAATGCTTAGATGATATGAAGAAAAGATTTTATCGATGAAAATAAACTTTTACCATGATACTTGTCATCAGCTTTCTCTGCGTAAGGATATCCACGACCTTTCTCAGTCACAACATGAATCAGAACTGGTCCTATGGGTTTTGTGCTCTTTACTTCTTTAAGAATGGAGACCAAATCATCTATGTTATGTCCATCGACTGGACCAATATAGTAGAAACCAAGTTCTTCAAAAAATGTCGAACCGGTTCCATTAATCATTCTCCGAGTATACTTGTCTACCTTTGAAGCTAAACGGTGCATTGATCCCCCAATTTTCTTTGTTATCCCCTGTAAACAACAGAGTATATTTTTCATTTTCACAAAATTTTATTATTTCGATTTTCCTTACACATGCAAGACAACAATCCTTGCCTTTGCAGCTTCTCTCAACTCTCTGAGAGGACGATTAGACTGCAACTTACTAAGTGCACTACTCAAAGCTCCAACAGGTGGTGTAGGTCCGTCCAAGTTAGCTGTAGGCAAAGAGACTTGCTTGTTGTCGTTGAGAATCACAATCATGTCAGAATCCAAATAGCCAGCATTGTTCATAGCTTCATAAGCCTGTCCAGCTGTCATTGCACCATCTCCTATAACTGCAACCACATTGTTGTTCCGACCCTTCAAGTCCCTTCCCACAGCCATCCCTAATTCACAAGTCACGATAAAAAATATTCCTCATTTTTGATCACTTTCTCTTGTTACTATTTTGTCACAAAACGAAGAACCTTACCTAATCCTGCAGATATTGTGGTTGAACTATGTCCAGTACCAAAAGAATCATGCTCACTCTCTCCTCGCTTGGTGAAACCGGACAGGCCGTTGGTTTGTCTCATTGTCTTCATCTTTCCTCTTCTCCCCGTTAGAATCTTGTGAGGATAAGACTATTAAAGAGACAGAAATTAAGTAAAAGTGTAGCTCTTAACGGAATATATAACATCACTAACAAAATAAACCAACCTGATGACCAACATCCCAAAGGATCATATCTTGAGGAGTATTGAAGATGTAATGAAGAGCCACTGTAAGCTCAACAACACCAAGATTGGAACCTAAATGTCCCCCGGTCTTCGAAACATTGAAGATAATATCAGACCTCAACTCATCTGAAAGAACTTTGAGTTCCTACATCATATCCAATTCAAAAAATAAAAAATAAAACCTTAAATCATTTATTACACTTTTAGACTTTGAGACAAACAAAGTCTAGAGCTTGTGTTCAAAAAAAAAGAAAAAAAAGTCTAGAGAAACAATACCTTGATAGACAAATTTTTCATGTGCAACGGATGGTTGATTGTGTCCAATAAAGGAGTTGGTGGTCTTTTGGAATAGTACTCACCGTTTTCTATAAATGAGCCATTTACTGTTGTTCTTATTTTTGACTGAAGCAAAAAATTGGCTTTGTAACTTTCAGTAAGTTTCAATATGTATGACATCTAAGATTCAAAAAGCAAACAAGATGTAGGGACATTTTAAAAATTCATTTTTAACCTCGACCAGAGGAAAAAATCAAACAAATAGTTAAAATTTCATGGCCACGAGTCAAAACAATCTGTGTCCTCATATTTTTCACATTTTTCAAGTGTGCAATCAAAAATAAGACAAACCAGTATGGTTTTTCACTGATTACATCATACTATAATATAATCAGTAAGTCATAAAGAGGAAGAAGAAAAATCTTACAAGACAAACGGTACTTCTTAAGAGTATTGATGGATGATATGCTGCCAAAGATTGAGAAGAAGATAAAGAAGTAGATTTGCAAAATATTTTTGAAGTTTCTCTATTTAGGTAAGAAGGAAATCCAAACGCAACGAGAGCCATTTGAGAGTATTTTCTCAAGACCCACGAGAAGAGCAAAAGGTGAAGCCGATAATAGCTTTCAATTTATTAAAGTTATCACCCAATTTATAGGGACAGATATTCATATCAAAATAAAAGAGTCGGTTCTAACTTCTAAATGTATGTAATATGAAAATACGTTCACACTTGAAAAATGTTTGCACACTTTTCCTTCAAGTGTGCAAACAAAAATAACACATTCCTTCTCGTACTGTTAACTGGAAACGTCAACCCTAACTGTCATTTACTAATATGAAACACGTTCTACTTTCACATCGACGCAAACATATATTCATACACAGTACATGAACACATCATGCATGTTTTCATGTGTGTTAACTACACTAGTCGTAATTTATTATATTTAATTTTAATATTAATTTTATCACTTTATCATAAACATATTAATTTTATTTAAATTGTTATATTAGTTACAGATTTTAAATTAATATTATAAACTATTTAACTTCGACAATTGATATATAAAATTCTGTTTTTCATATTTAAACGGTTTAAATTTTGTATATAATCTTCTGTCTAGTATTAACCAAATTATCATTAAACAATTTGGATTTGAGATGAAGCATTTCTCGTAGTTATGGATTTAAAATATCTCAACGGCATTACAAATATTAGAAACAGTAATAAATTTTAAACTATCAATAATATAATAATAGCCAATAAACATCATATATATTAGAAGCAATTAATATTTTAGATACTATGAAATAAAAAAAAAAATTACAAACACTACTTCTTCATCATGTTAGATTATACTTATATTATGCTTTTATTTGTCATTTTATTTTTATGTTATTTTAAAATTTTATCTTAGTTTCATGTTTCTTTATATTTAATATTTTTGTAATAAGTTTTAATTTTAAATACATTATTCAAATGAATTTTGTGTTTTTGCATATAAAAAATAATTCAATTTTCGTCATTATAAGTGCAAGTTAATTGTTTTAGTTAGAAATATAACTTCATATTCTAAATAAAAAATATTAATCATAAGTCTAAAATTTATATTTATGAAATATATTTTCTACTATATTTTGATTATCACTAGTACATCCCAACTAATTACGTCAACAATACAAAACATAAGGAATTATATTTCATAAATATAAATAGGATACACCAGAAAAATTAGACTAGGACTACCTTTCGGCATTGACATCCCAATTTTTCATGTATTCCAGAATTCCAATACCTTAACTTTAAGTTTATAATAATCTTTCATAGGATTAATATTTCCAATAAGAATCAGAAAAGCTGACTATATAAAAAATTAAAATTATATACTAATTTTTTTTTTTTTTTGAAACACAATTATATACTAAATATACGAAGAAATTAAAAGACGCTTTAGTGATAGTATTATTTAAACAAATAACCCAGCTTAAAATCCTAAAGAACACTAAAGATAAGATAAACATAATATAATATTATTGATAGAATTTCTTAATATTCATATTTTACTATCTCAAATATCATGATATATATATATATATATATATATATAAAGATAGATGTTTTAATAATCTATACTATTAAAAATGAAAGCACCCTTAAAAAATCAACTAATGAAAGTTGTCTACAACTTCACTAATGACATTTTGATAATTTATTTTTTGGGGATACATCTATATATATATCGATTGTTACAAATTATATCACATATTACATATATCCGAATTATTCTCTCTCTTCCCATTAATTACTCTAATCATATTCCATACTATATTTCCTACATTTATATTATACATATATATATATATATATATATATATATATATATATATATATATATATCGATTGTTACAAATCATATCACATATTACATATATCTGAATTATTCTTTCTCTTTCCATTAATTACTCTAACCATATTCCATACTATATTTCCTACATTTATATTATGTTATAGATTTTTTATTACACGATTTCAATCTATAGATTTCCAACATTATAATTTTTTGGTTGACATTTTTTGGTATATGCATCATATATCGACTTTATAAACTCATATTACTGTAACCATGATATGATGCTATATTTCATATATTAATATTTTCATATAGTTGTACTACACCTTATATTTCAAAGAATATACTTTATAAACTCATATTACTCTAACCATGATATAATGCTATATTTCATATATTAAGATTTTCATATAGTTGTACTACATCTTACATTTCAAAGACTATACTTTATAACTCATACTACACTTTATATTACATATATTAAGATTTTGTTATAGTTGTAAAGTAATATGAGTTAATGTATTATATAATATATTGTCTATATCGACATTTTCATGAGTTATCTTCCTATATCAAACATTTTTAATATGTCTCACTACTTCTATCATTTATTTCATACCTGAAAACCATTTCAAAACATTTGAGAATGAAGAATTCATTCAAATGTCTTTCATTTCATGTTTTTCTCCTTTTTAAGATATTTGAGAATAGAGAATCCATCCAAATGTCCTTCATTTCATGTTTTTTTCTTCATATATGAAATATGTTTTCATGTCTCACTAAATTTACCCATATGTATAAATCATAATTAGATGACATATAGTAATATCAAATATGTCGATATATCATCATTCTCATGGTGACATTTAATGGATGAGTTACGTTTTGTTAAGAAAATATTGCAAAAACTATTTTCTATAATTATCTTCCTACTAAAATAAATAAATTGCTTTATCTACAAGTTTATAGATTAACCACAATTAATATCGTGGTTAGTTATTTTTTGTTTGGATTTCATAAATTTCGGTAACTTACCGTAGTTGTATTACCATTAACTGTTAAACTTTAAACTTGCTAACCAATTCAAAATATCTTCAAGAAATATTCTTTATTCCTTGAAAGAGATACTTTTGAAAATCGTCTAAATATTCTTCCCTACATTTGCGTAACCTAAATGTATATAGTCTCTACATATTATAAAGATAGCCTCCCTTAACCACTATATTCATCATTCCTTAAAAAACCTAAAACAAAAATGAAAAATAATTTATAGTTGTCTTTCTTGAGCGATATAAAACCGAGGAAGATTGCATGTCGCATCCAAGTAAAAATCCTTCATACATGGAGACATTTCATGAAAGACATAGGGAACTATGGAACTTTTTGTATAGATTTATGATTTAGATATCTTCATTTTGTAAAAAAATAACCTAAATGCTAATGTTTTTTCTTTGTTTATATAGGGAACTAAGATCCATGCCTCGTGTAACAAGACATACATTCCTGAATTGGCAAAACATATTCGTGTTGGAGTATGTAGAAACATTGATCGTTTCAGTGTGTCAGCTGCTGGTGGAGCATACATATCAACTCAGCATAAGTATCGCATAGCTTTTAATGGCACCACCAAAATCACTGATTCTACACACTATGATGACAACATGTTTCTAGATCTGGTTGATTTCAAAACCATAGAAAGTATCACAGATACAAACTTCCTTAGTGGTCAATTTTCTCCCATTTTTGTAAATTATCTCCATTGTTGTGTGTCTATCTAACACGAGTATATTTTTATCTAGATGTTATTGGATAAGTTCAAGACTTGAGTGATCTGGAAACCATAGGGTGTAGTGGTGGGAAACAAATGAAAAATTTGGAGTTTAGTCTCGTGGACATTTCGTAAGTTTAATATATTTAATATAAAAGATATAGGTCTATAAACATATTGATTTATAACTTGATATGCAATTTTATTAGTGGTCAGAGATTAGCTTCCTGTCTTTGTGGTAAATTTGCTGAGAATCTTTATACAGTTAGCCAAGAAACAGAATGCATGGTGATATGTCTTCTACGATTTGCTAAGATTGGGCAATATAGAGGTATTCTTTCAAAATGAAAACTTATGTTTCAATTTTGTACTAAACGACATTGTTTATATTGTTGGAAATATGTTTCTACTAACTCAATGTTTTTAGCATTCCTTCATTTTTTTTATGTCAGAAGAAATCACTCAAATGCTTATGATTTATTTTTGGTTATATGTGAGGTCCAAATTTCAAATGCTTATGATGTAAGTCAGATGTTTGTCATCCTAAAATACCAGAGGCAGATGAATTTAAAAAATGATATTTATCTTCTTTAATAAATTTTTTTTCACTTTATAATAGTATAGATTAAATTATAAAAGTTATTTATAATCGCAGAGGTAATGATTATTCTCATCAGGTAATTAAATATGGTTTTCTCATTTACTTCTCTAGGTGGTAAGATTGATCGATCTGCTCCACCAGGCCCTTGACCAAAAATGGTTATTCATCAAGGAGAGAATTATCACTTAATGAGTAGTTTAAAACCACCCCCAGGAGGAGATCCGAAATTTGGCCAGCCTTATATTATTGACACTGAAAACGAAGTTCATAACATGTCGACTATTGTTGGGTATGTTTA